TGGCGGACTGTTCCTTCACAGCCCCCATTGGGTGGCCAACAACGATGGCAGAAGCATTGATGGTGCGATCGAGGTCGTCGGGTAGAAAGAGGTTGCCAGCGACGGTCATTTGGTAGAGACTGGGGAAGGTGATCGGCCACATTGTGACGTTGTCGCTGCGGTAGAAGTTGTTGGCTCCATACGACATATTTTGTGCCGTAGCAGGAAGCATCTGAAGGAGGGCCACGAAGGCTACAGATGTGACGGTAGACAGCGGCATCTTCTGAACGTTGAGATGGTAGAATGTATGCTGAGTCGATTGGTGTGGATGCGAAAGCTGTGTGTGATGCTCTTCACGGTCGCAACACACCGTTCTTATATCTCATCAACATGACCTCCAGTAATTTGCACTGCCATGTCTTGCGTCACCCTATCTCATAGATATTGTGTTGAGACCAGGGCTTGGTGGACGTTTTCCTCCGCCCTTCTCTCGCCGCTGAGCTTGGCATGCAAAGAGCTGACATGACGATGGCCGAGATATGTCGGGCAGCACGTCCGCGCACCAAGGTTGATAATGAGAAAGAACTCAGGACTCCTATACTAGTGTCGTTAATTCCTTGGTTGGCGCCAGGTCGATGGCAAGCAGAGATAGTAATCAAGGTGACTAGTACATCAGTAGAGGCAGGAAGCACAAGATGACAAGACCGATGCAATTACCGTACGATGCTCAGCCACGATAGAAGGTGGTGCTTGCTATTGCGCGTTCGATATTGTTTCTGTGAAAGTGACGTCTTGGCTCACTGCAGCCAGCTGACAGCCTTAAGTCCATCCGCCACTAAGTCGAAATAGGCTTAGACTGTGCAGGCCGCACGTGCATCACAGCCCTGCGCTGGCCGTCGTCTACCAAGATTCTGTGCACGACCATCATCATCCTTTGATTTCACCATCGCAAGTCGAGGGACCGCCAATATCCATCACAGATCATGCGCTGCTATTTGATGCGTACAAAGAAGCGCGATCTCCAAGGCTCTCATTTCCCGAAGAACTTTCCCGTCGCGTCCATTCAGCGGCCACTTCATCACGCTCGAATCGCGTCGTCCTTCGCTTTTTGACAAGCTCCAACGATGATGCTCTATAGTCATACAGATTACGATACGGCACCAGCCATGCGAATGTAGCGAGACTATTTTCGGTCAATGAGACCTTCAGCGCTTTGTACAACAAGGTAACAATGGCACCCGACGACATGTATCAGTAGTCCTTTACGCTATGTTCACAGTGCAGTTGAACCGGTCGATTTAAGTCGCGCGCGCAAGTCACGATCAACAGACCAGAAAGCCTTTCTTGTACCGAACACAGACTTCCTAGCCGAGCATCAACAACACCATGGCTCCTAACTTTATCGCAGAGCGCGTTGAACCTTGCCAAGGCTTACCAGTCCACATCCTGATGTGTGGTCACACCGTCCAAGCTTCCTTCCTCCACCTGAAAGAGTCATCAAAATGCGCACCGAACTGCAGAGACGTCAACATATGCACGCACGCCGAGCCAAACTTTCTCTGTCCTACATGCTATGCGTCTGAACTTCACCGCAAGTACCGCAAGTTCATGGATGACTGCCGGGCCGAAAATACGACAGGCACATATCCAAAAAACCTGTATGCCACTATAGAACGTACCGACGGAGTTTATAACGCACTTGACGATTTCGAAAACCAAGAGCACTCCCTCTGGTGCGAAGTGGGCCTGGGGAAGGTAAAGTTTGAGAAGGCTGCGGTCATCAGCTACAAGAGGAAGATTGAAGCTAAAGGGCTGAGGGAATGCAAAGTTGTGGATGAGTGCGCATAGTATCTTGATTATGCACGAGATGGACGTAGCGCTGCCTTGACTGTGATATAGACCTGATGCCTGAGCTTTCAGACCGCACCATCTTTGTTTCAGGTATTCTTTGCTAAAAAAAAATACAACAACTCCGTCACGGCATACATCGTCTCCATCATCATCGAGCTCATCAAAGACGGCTAGCTTCGTCGGTGACCAGCTTTTATCGCTCATTTGTTAAAATTTTGACGCGACGAAATTATCAAGTCCTGTCCTCGTAACGTAAATCCCAGTTCGCCTTCGTCTTTTCCCTATCGTACTCCTTCCCCGCCCAGGGCGTACCACACACGTGCAAATGAGCGTACGGCGTTTTGTCGAACATGACCCAGGCACCCTGGTCGCGAATCGTATCCGGAAACCCATCTCGTTCCGCTTCAAAAGGCCACAGGATCATATAGTGCGGCCCGATTGGAATAGCCGGGCTCGTTCTGTCTGCCGGGTTCGTGGTAGTGTGCTGATTTGCTCCGCACAACATGTATATGAGACCTGGCGCAGTGTTTGTGGGTGCTGGCTTAGCGGCATAGGCATCTTGGATCCATTGGAGACCCATGGGGTCAGCGCACATGGGAACGTTGCCAACCGTGTTCTCGTTTCCGGGGAAGGCTGTCCAATGGTTCGTCCCTTCTCGTAGAATGACTAGTTTTCGGTCGGGGCCCCAGTGGCTCCAATCGGCGATGGTGGCATTCTTGGTGATGGATATGGGTCCAGACGCCAGAGCGCGGTTGATCTTGCAAGCTAATGCTTCTTCTTCTGGGGTAGGTATCTCTCCTTCTCCTCGAGGGGTCAGAGGATTGGGTACGCAGCACTGAAAAGCGCTGTTGTATACAAAAGAAGCCATTGGTAGATATTGGAAAAGTTGTGTATGGTATCTTGGTGCTGTGGGAAAACGACAATTTATATACTCACCAGGAGAGGGAAGGTTTGGACCGTTCTGATGGGTACATGTTGACTAGTGATCGCGTCCGAATGCACATGTCGAGTGACCCCGAATTCCAATGCGAGAAGCGGGGACTGCAGTCGTCGAGAGTTTACGACTATTGCGACATCCGTCGATCCGTCATTTCGACCGACGCGTCCCTGCGAGGATAGGACCTCGTGCGGCACGGTGGCAACAACGGTGCAGTCTTCTCAATGCGCTGGTGCCGACAGTACGCGATATACAAAAATTCCGCGTTCTTTGTCTCGAGTTCCGGGGAGCGCGCGAAGATGCGGTGTTTGATGTTTGGGGCGTGCAGACGCGTGGACGCGTACCTCCATGGGCAGGTACGCACAGGCCACATTGCTGTGCGGACGGAAACCTGGGTAGACCTACATCGCTTTGACTTACAACATGCACCAGACGGATCGCAAGTCTAGTCGCCCAGCAAGCACCGCTGTCTACTACCACATGAGAAAGTCCAGTATCTAGATCTCTACTACTGCCATCGCTAGCATGCAGCTAAGCGATGATCGTCAGGGAGGGGTCGGGACTGACGTAGACACCATTGAACACCTCTCACAGCGCGACGACTTATACGACTAACATGACCTCGGGGGATTGAATGGGAACAGATTACGGCCGTAAACGGTCTGAACTTCCTCCGGACCTCACGCTTTACGCTTTACGCTTTACTCCACTGAATGACCCATTGCCTAGATGGGATTCTGCTGAGTAACACGGTACACAGGATTGAAGCTAGCGCTTACCAACAAGATGCTATAGAATGCCTAGGTATAAAGTACCCCAGATTACTGATCGAATTCACTTCGAACTTCTTCCACATCGTGATGCTTACGAAGCGTTGAAGCTGCGTAGCTATCTAACGTACCTTCCATAACCTCAGCTGTCGTTGCTCACATGGAACACAAATCCATATTTTCTTATTACAAACAGAAACGAGACGATCCATCTTATTTAAAGCGGCTATCCCGGTCTCACAATACAGACATCGAAAGCGCAACAGCCATGGCCAACAAACCCATCGTCATTATCGCGGGTGTCGGCTCAGGCACCGGCGCATCCCTTGCGCGCCGCTTCGCGAAGTCCTACCCCGTCGTTCTACTAGCCCGAAACCCCTCAAACTTCGATGCCCTCGCTGAAGAAATAAACAAGGCCGGTGGTGAGGCTATTGGTATCTCCACAGACGTCAGCAGCGAAGAGAGCGTGAAGAAAGCGTTCGCGAAGATCAAAGAAGTCCATGGCGGGGCGCCTGTCGCAGCGATGATCTTCAACGCAAGTGCGAGGCCGTCTAGGAAGCCGTTTCTGGAATTGACGACGGAGGAGTTTGGGATGGGGTGGGAGGTTAGCGTGTACGTTATCCTGGATGGAGTTTATGTCGTTCCGAAGTCGACATGTACACAGTACTAACAAATCTCAATCGTGTAGAAAAGGAGCATTCCACATTGCCCAAAACGCCATCCCGCTCCTCCTCACGCACGTACAGTCCAACCCTCCTGCCGGCACCTACCCACCAACCCTTATCTTCACGGGCGCCACAGCCAGCGTGAAGTCAAACGCCCAAATGTCCTCTTTCTCGACGGGGAAATTTGCTTTACGTGCCCTATCTACGAGCCTCGCGAAGGAATTTGGTCCGCAAGGCGTGCACGTCGCGCACGCGGTTATTGATGGTGTGATCGATATCGAGCTTACGAAGAAATACATTGGGGGAAAACCGGACGAGGCGAGTATTGGGAGTGACGATATTGCAGAGGTTTACTGGGGGCTACATACTCAAGGACGAAGGGGCTGGGTTAATGAGGTTGATGTGAGGCCTATGCTGGAGAAGTGGTAGGGGAACTATTGAAGTAGAGATAGCCAGAGTAGTGTAGAACACCATGAAGATTTGACCCAGCAAGAATGAGGCTGACTGCGCAGTTGATCTGCCGTTGGAAGGCCGATTGCGGGGTAATGCTGCAACGAGTCCGTCAGGCAAGCATCGTCAACGTCTAGCAGCCTTGCTCTTTTAAGGAACAAAAAGAATTAAAAAAAGAAATCGAAGCTACTCAGCCGCGGCGCGGGGGCAGCGAGGTACATAGCCAGGTCGCACTCACACTGGTAGTTGTGGGGATCACTCGGCAGCTCGTTAAATTCTTTTCTCGGTTTGTTCTAAACTTCATGCGGACCCTAAACGCAGTACTTTATAGAACGGCCAAAAAGAAGACGAAGCCCATGGGGATCGAACCCACAACCTGATGAACTGTTAGATGGTGTTGGAACGAGAGGTGATTGGTGAAGTGTACCTTTGGTGTTTATGCTTTCTGACCGAAAACCAACGCGCTACCATTGCGCCAAGGCTCCGAATAGATTTCGATACAGAATCTTCCAAATGCAACATTTATAGTCTTGGTTGATTGCATGCTGCAGAAGTTTCGAAGCTGATCGTTTTGACGTAGAACGCCCTATCAAAGAAAAGCCAAGCGGTCGTTCCATAGAACATGTGCTTTCTTCATATGAGGGGCATTGTGCGTCATGCTAATGCTTTGACACATCACTACGCCCCACATCGAACCACAATCTTTCGTGTCGCTGCGCAGCTTCATGCAAACCACTAGAAAACTCGGTATAGGTAGACTTTAGGCCCTTTTAGATAACAGAGCTGCTAGGCAATACATTTATTGCTTACACGAAAGTCTTACACAAACGCTTCCACATGCGCGGAGTTTTCCATACGCCAAACTTGTGCAATCGCTAATTAACACGACAAGTTATATGCCAGCAACACTTCTTTGCAAGTTCTCAATTCCGCGGCTTTCTCCACAACTCCTCCGGGTCCAGTTGCCGTGTTGGAGAAACTCCACTACCCGGCTGCGAGTACTCAATACCACATGCGCCGCGATCCAAAGCAAGCGTGTTCAAGTTCCAATGGAGCTGTTCATCCGGATCCGTCGCCAGACTCGTTCGGGTGCGTCCTTGAGGCTGGTATTGTGCTTGCTCGGCGTTTGAGTTATTCGACGCCATCAAGGAAAGAGATAGTGTGTCAAGCTCGGTCGCAAAGTCCATCTCCTCTTTGCTAGCTTCCAGCGCAGAGCAAATGTTGCTCGGTCGTGCTTTTGCTTTAATTTCCAACTCGTACACTCGCTGGTCGCGCGAGAACTCTGCTTCGAGCTGTCGGTGCTCGGCATACCACTGCTCGTACTGCTCTTTACTCATCTGTCCTATAGGAGGGTAGGTCGCGTTGTGCGCCGCTTGCCGTTGTTCCCAAATCTTCGCTGCTTCTGCTTGGATGCATTCGTTACATATAAATGCAGCGTCAACCGTGTCGCCATACGGGTCGATGCAGTTTTCGCCACAGTCCTCGACCAGGTCCGTCCGGATACGGTGAGAGCAGAGTAGCTGGTGATAGAGTCGACCTTGGCACGGCGCAAAACGCTTGGTCCGGATGTTATTGAACGTAGAGGCGGGTATTTGTTGCGAGGTAGATGAAGAGGCGAAGGGGTTGTTTGCTCCTTCATCCGGGGTGCTCGTCCACCCCCATCGACATGCCATTACAAGATTTGCGTGAGACATGGTGTCGTCGGAGACTTTAGAGTTTGGCATGGCCCTAAAGGCACTGTTTGAAAAATCCATAATGAAGTTGATCTCCAAGTTGAACTTTTGAAGTTTGCAGAGGATATGCGGGTGGCGTCAGCTGACAACGCGTGGTTGCCTTGAGTGATGGTATTGATTGGTCCTTCGAAAGTTACACAGTATCGAAGTGATTGATGTTGTGCGATTCCCGACGCGAAAGTGATCAAGGTCTGCGTTGAATAATCGGCGCTGTTCCTGTGGTCGCGTGGAGGTACATCGTGTGTGCACAGAGCGCTAACAGAGTGTGACGCTAGCTATCGCAAGGCCTTCACTCCATGGTCCCCGGCAGTGAAAGGTGTATTGGCAACTCTGGTGAAGCGGGCCGATAGTGATGTGTCGTACGAATGTGCTGCTGAATCCTCGACGGATGATGTGCTGCTGGGATGGGCTGCGATAAAACGTGGTGAGTCGTCGCGCGACGCGCTGCCTGGGTGGCCAAAGCTCGCAATAGACGCTAAGCCTTGTTCGGGCCGATGACGATATGGAACCTTCCAGTATCTCGCCAAGTCAGCATCCAGCCACTCACCAGCCTTCACACATGTATCACGAGTAGTTCTGATTAAGACACTGAAGAAAAGCAATTTGAAGAGGGGAACTGTTGTCTCAGCACCTGTGCGCGTCGTCATTCAGTGAGGCGGCGGGAGAAGGGGGTGGCAAAGAAGTAAAACAGGGGGACCAATCGATGCACAATCCTGCTAATCGTCTCTATATCCAACTCACTACCCTACAATCTCCAGTTTCCAAGTCTCTAGATCAAGAATCTGAAACCTCTCTCGGCACCAACCCCAGGGACAGCGTTGATTGCGCCTTCAACGTGTTCTCCACGAGCAAGTTTCTTGTTCAACCGCCCCAGTATAATGCGCATAATGACCGCCATGATAATGGCCAGTGCTGCAGTTGCGCAATCCACACTCAGGGGAACCGTCAAATCCGCCGGACCACTCTTTGGCTGAGGATACATGTAGCTTGCATAAATCGAGCTCGTATTACTGATCGCGTTGATGAAAGCCAGTGCAGCCGCCCTCTTCGCTGGCGGACGAGGCAAAGAGTTGGAGATCCAGGCCAGAGCTACGACATATCCAGTGTATACACCAGGTACCATCAACATCATGGCGACGTAGCGAGGTGCTGTTGCAGTCGTAGCGGCGGCAAGGATGAAGGCTGCTACGCCGACGCAGAGAGGGAGGACGATGTGGAAGAATCGTTCGCCGGTGCGGTCGGCATGCCAGGCGTTGAGGTAGGTGGTGATGACTGCGAGAACATAAGGTGGCGCTGTTAACAGAAGTGTCTCGATGTTTGGGTATCCTAGCGTCTTGACCACTGTTGGGAAGAAGTTGGTAACACTGGCCGATGATACGTTCGCTAGAAGCATGATTGTAAGCACCCAAGTCTTGATATCGAGTAACGCAAGCTTTAGGCCGTGGAAGAAGGTTTGCGACTCTGCTGAGACCCAGTCGTCTTCGCCAACGTCTTCCTGGAGCCTGTAGACGGCGAGTTGGCGCTCTTCCTCTGTGAGCCAGGAAGTTGTTCGAGGGAAGTTGGGTAGGATCCAGAACGCGGTGAAGGCAATCGCGACGGTAATGATACCCTGAAGAATCAGCTAACATTCCAGACACCCGGTTCGACGCGCGCGACACTCACCTCGATTATGAACACCCAGCGCCACGCTCTCAAGCCCTGCGTGCCATCCATATTACTCGTGATCCCCGCGGTAATGAGCCCACCGAAGGCGCCCGAGATCAAACTTCCAGAGTAAAGCACCGCCGTTCTCAGACCCAGCTCCTTCCTCGTATACCAAGCGCTGAGGTAGAACAGACATCCTGGGAAGTATGCGGCTTCGATGAATCCCAGGAAGAAACGGCATACCACCAGTCCTGCGAAGTTCTGGCATGCAGCAGTCGCACCCGATATGATGCCCCAAATGATCATGCACGTCGGGAGGTAAATGGCTGGTTTTCCTGTCTTGTTGAGGAAAAGGTTTGAGGGGATCTGCATCAGGATGTAACCGACGAAGAGGATGGAGACGGTGGTCTATTCAAGTTAATGAGAAACTTGCTGGTGATTTCAGCAATCACATACTTGATACTGCACACTCGTGAGTTCCAGCTCGTCTTGAAGACCTGCTAGGCGAACGGCAGCGATATTGTTTCTATCGAGGTAATCTGGCTATTATTAGCGCTGCCCACCCGCGGCCATCTACCAAGACATACTCATGATATACATCAGGATAATCATCGGCAACAATCTCGTATCGATCTTCCGTCGCATCCTCTTCTCTGCTTCAATCCTTTCCTCGGCACTCATAGCAGCCACCAACGGCGGTGGGACCAGCTTGCGATGCCCATCGACGACCCCATTTCCTGCTTCCAGAGCAGTAGGCGCGATCTTATCATCCGAGATTTGCTCGATCGAAGGTTTTCGGTCGTCGGCCATTGTGTGCGCGTCGAGCGAACTATGCGATTATCGATTCGACGTAGGCAATGCGATGGCGTCTACCTGAAATGTGATCAATGTGAAGGCGCAGCGACAAGAGACGACAAGCAACACTGCGGGGCCCCAAGCTTCCACTTATATGAAGCTTGCCCGTACTCCCAAGCATCGACCGGGGTAGCTCGCGCCATGTACATCATTTAACGACCGTCATGCGACGAAGACATACACCAGCGCACACCCATACCATATAGCCGAGGGCGGTTGCCGACAACCGTGCAGGAATGTCGGCCCGCTGTAAAGATCAACACCTCACGGCGACCTGAGAGCACATATGATTCGTCAATTGGGCTATCATTTAGTCGTAGTAATATGCTGATGCAACGGGTGTGCATGCGACACGGGCTAGTAGCGTTCGTGTTGGAGGATAAATCGACATGCGGGGTGAAGATCGACCGAAGCGTCATAGTTGGCGCAACGAATCCGGGGTAGCTGAACGGCTTATGGCACGGCAACTGCAAGCGACACACCCTTTTCCTTTTCATCACCATTCGCATCGCCGACTTCGCAACTCTCATGACTTGTCGCTGGCCTTGGCACCTTGAGTGCGTAGTATAGCTCGGTATGGTTAAGGTCAGCGCTGACTCCATTACTTATTACGCAAACGCCCCAGAACGCGCAGCTACCATGAGCGACAACCTCAATCAACGACCGCAAAGGCTCATATGTAGTCTTCACCATGTCTTTCTTATTGAGATGGTTCAATTGAGCTATACAGGGCGAGTCATAGAGCAGACAATGAGACACGCCTGTCGAATGGCACATGTCATGAATCGCATTACCCTCGTCTGTGTCCCTCTATGCTAACAAAGATTCATCCGTGGTCACACCGCAGAAGCGCAAGGTAAAGGCAGGTAAGATACTCGCTGCCTACGCCGGGCTCCGGATCTTCGCAAACGGCCAGATATAAGATCTCAATTTACTCAAGCAATCTTGACTTCTCAACTCTACTACCCAACAGCAAATTAAATCGCCATCACAAACAACTACCTCAACTTAGCTGCTCCCGACGCCAGGTATCCGGATACCAACTACGACATCATGCCCGCAGTACCAAAAGACCACTATCTCTGGACAGTAAGAATACAAGTTACACTCAATCGCCGTACCGAGTGCTAACCATGATAGGTCATCGTCCGAGGAAGAGATGGCCCTGCGAACAGCGCGAAAGCAGCGGAGGTCAGGGCCCTAGTCGCGGCAACTGCGGGATGCACCATCGTCAAAGATTTCCACCCTATGGA